CCCCCCCAGTTGCTATGGTCAGTTTCCATGGCAACCATCCCCAGCTCCCGTTGCTATGGTCCGTTTCCATGGCAACCATCCCCAGCCCCGGTTGCCATGGTCACTTTCCATGGCAGCCATGCCCAGCCACCTGTTGCTGTGGTCAGTTTCTATGGCTACCATCGCCAACCCCCTGTTGCTATGGTCAGTTTTCACAGCAATCTTACCCATCCCCCTGATCCTGTTGTCAGTTTCCATGGCAGCCATCACCAGCCCCCTGTGGCTATGGTCAGTTTCCATGGCAACCATCCCTAGCCCCGCGTTGCTATGCTCGGTTTCCATGGCAAGCATCCCAATGTCCCCTGCTCTGTCCCCAGCATCCCCCCGTATTTCCTGTCTCCATGTCCCCAATGTCCCTCTGTCCCCAGTGTCCCCCCAGTGTCCCCAGTGTCCCCAGTGCCCCCCCGTGTCCCCCTGTCCCCCGTGTCCCCTGTCCCCGGTGTCGCACCCTCTGTCCCCAGCAGTCCCCTCAGCTCCTGGCTCAGTAGCTCAAAGCGCCGCTCCAGGTCCCGCTCCTGCGCCCTGGGGGTGACACCAGGCGACAAGAAGGGGACAAGGAGGTGTCACCGGGGCTGGCAGAGCCCCCCGGCAGCGCCCCCAGGGTCCCCTCGCGGACACCGGAGCGGGGGGGGCACGGGGAGGGGACGCGGAGGGAGGGTGGCGGTGTCGCCGCGGTGTCCCCGCGGTGTCGCCGCGGTGTCGCCGCTGTCCCCTCACAGCAGCTGCAGCTGGTCCTGTCGCCGCACCAGCAAATTCCGCTGCTGCACCAGCGAGAACCAGGCCCGGAGCAGCCGCTCCTCGCGCGCGGGGTCCGCGCCTGGGGACACGGGGACATCAGGGGACAGCGGGGACACGGGACAGCGGGGCATGGGGACATGGGGACACGGGACAGCGGGACATGGGGACACGGGACAGCGGGGACACGGGGACATCGGGGGACAGCAGGGACACGGGACAGCGGGGACACGGGGACATCGGGGGACAGCGGGGACATGGGGACATCAGGGGACAGCGGGGACAGTGGGAGAGCGGGGGGCAGCAGGGACACGGGACAGCGGGGACATTAGGGACATCTGGGATATTGGGGACATGGGGACAGCGGGGACGTTGGGGACATCAGGGACATTGGGGACAGCGGGGATGTTGGGGACAGCGGGGACGTTGGGGGATATTGGGAAAATCAGGGACATTGGGGCCAATGGGACATACACGGGACAGCGGGGACATGGGGACATCAGGGACACGGGACAGCGGGGACACGGGGACATCGGGGGACATCAGGGACATTGGGGACAGCGGGGATGTTGGGGACAGTGGGGATGTTGGGGGATATTGGGGCCAATGGGACATTGAAGGGACACTGGGGGGATTGGGGACATTGGGGACACCAGGAGGACATGGGGGACATTGTGGGCCACGTGGCCCCGATGTCTCCATGTCCCCACGATGTCCCCATGATGTCCCCTGGTGTCCCTCTTTTCCCTTGTTCTCGTATGCCTGATGTCCCCAGTGTCCCCCTGTCCCCCTGTCCCGCTGTCCCCTCACCGCTGTCCATCAGTGCCCGCAGTTCCCGCTCCAGCTCCGGGGCCTCAGCATCCAGCCGGGCCTGCTCCTGCTCCAGGGCCACCAGCTCGGCTGCCACCCACTGTCCCTGTCACCGTGGGGACACCAGTGTCACCTCTGTGTCACTCCTGTGTCACCCCTGTGTCACCCACTGTCCCTGTCACCGCGGGGACACCGGGGTCACCCCAGTGTCCCCCTGTCCCCAGTGTCCCCATGTCCCCCCTGTGTCCCCAATGTCCCCAAGTCCTCCCCCAATGTCCCTCTCCCCCCTGTCCCCAGTGTCCCCAGTGTCCCCGTGTCCCCGTGTCCCCGTGCCGTACGTGGGGTGTCCCTCCATCAGGACGCTCCCGCGCAGCCGCAGCCGCAGCGTGGCCGTTGTCACCTTGCGCGTGCGGGGCCGCAGGGACAGGGACAGCGCCGTGTCCCCGAGCCCCGCCAGCCGCCCCAGCTCCAGCGGCGCCGCCGCCAGCACCGAGCGCCGGCCCCGCGACTCCTGCGGGGACACGGGGACACCGGACACTGGGGACATTGGGGACACGGGGACAGTGGGGACAGTCCTGGGGACACGGGGACAATGGGGACACGGGGACACGGGGACACGGGGACACTGGGGACAGCGGGACACTGGGGACAGTCCTGGGGACACTGGACACTGGGCACTGGGACACTGGGGACACTGGGGACAGCGGGGACAGTGGGGACACGGGGACACTGGGGACAGTCCTGGGGACATTGGGGACACTGGACACTGGGACACTGGGGACACTGGGGACAGTCCTGGGGACACTGGGGACATTGGGACAGTGGGGACACCAGGGACACGGGGACACCAGGGACACGGGGACAATGGGGACACCGGACACTGGGACAGCAGGGACAGCCTGGGGACACGGGGACACCGGACACTGGACAGTGGGGACAGTGGGGACAGCAGGGACACCAGGACACTGGGGACAGTGGGGACAGTCCTGGGGACACTGGGGACACTGTGGACAGACAAGGGACAGACAGGAGGACACTGGGGACAGCTGGGGACAGCGGGGGGACATCTAGGGACACATGGGGACCCCAGTGTCACCCACCCCAGGGGACCTTGATGTCACCCAGGGACCCCCAGTGTCACCCCCAGTGCCACCCACCCCGGGGCAGCCCGATGTCACCTGGGGGCACCCAGGGGACCCCAATGACACCCAGGGGACCCCCGGCTTCCCCCCCCCATTGTTTCTGTTGTGTCCCCCCCGGTTTTGGGGTCCCCACCCCATTTTTTGCCCCCCTCCCCGGTTTTTGGG